TCATTTGATTTCTTGACTGCTGCTTCCATGAGTGTTGATAGTTGATCCAAGAAGATAGTTGGTCCTTGACAACTTCAATCTTTTCTCTGTTGATAAAAATGTTGTTTTTGGTCCAGTGGGTGTGGTACTGTAGGATAAACAAACACTGGACCACAATGTCGGTTTGAACTGCAAGGCTGGTGATTCAAACTCACCAGCCACTCCTGGGAAGCACTATATACAGGGTCACTATGAGTCGGAACCAACTTGATGGCTCTTAACAACAGCAACAAAAAGAACTAGAGACCGGAAAAATTTTAACAGAAAAATGATGTTTCAAAGAAAAACCTCATTTCATCTTCTTTAGGTTAGTCTGGTGAAAAGAGATGGGGATAAGAGTCTTAGGATTCAATAGTGAGTAATTGTTATGATGACTAATTGAGACTGTTGCAGTTGTAAAAGTTTTATAACAAAAATGGGGGAGAAGTTAATCTTACAGTCCAGAAACAGAGGACCCTAGGCCCATCAAGGGAGAAAAGCACAAGCGGAATGTGGGACCTTATCCAGAGCAGCAGAGATACTAGAGATGGAGGCAGAGATGGGGACGTGAAGAGAGGGAGCAACTGAGGACTCTAGATTCATGGAATGAGAGGGAGTGAGAGCTGGTGGCCAGGAGGCAGGCTTGCAAAATGTACCCTTTGGTGATGTAAATTATTATATATGCCTGAGTGATTGAGTGTTTGTTTAGAAAGAAGGGGAAAAAAAAGAGCTAAAATGAATAGAGAGAAATACTGTTAACTAATGGTACATGGAGAGGATTATAATCATTGTAATGATTTGTTGAATGTAAAACTGATGATCTGCCCTGTAAACTTTCACTCAAATCACAATAAAAACTTTGAAAGAAGAGAAAAATCTCAGCTGTCATTAGAAGCAGTGAGAAGTCTGGCAGCTAAAGCACAGCTATGATGGGTATCTGCATTGTAGTCCATTTGACCTTCTATCTAAAACTTTTTTTTTTTTTTCCTTTTAAGTTCAAGAGAAGCAATTATCTTAAAAGTAAGTTATCATAAAAAAGTAAGCTCTGGTAGCATAGTGGTTACAATTTGGGCTGCTAACCTCAAAGTCAGCAGTTCGAAACTACCAACTGTTCTGCAGGAGAAAGATGAGGCTTTCTACTCCCATAAAGATTTACAGCCTCAGAAATGCTATACAGGGTCACTATGAGTCGGAACTGACTCCACAGCATGTATCCAGCCAACCAACCATAATCATCT